AAGAAAGAGCAGCAGCTGCCAAGCTGAAGTTTTACCAGATGTTCTACACCTCCCCACCTGGGCATGGCTGCTGCGTAGCCTTTCTTGGTAAGATAAGGACAGATGCAGCTGGTCAGTCCCTGTCTAAGGGCGCTGCCGGTCAGCTGGCCTTATCTGGGTCAGGGTCACCCAAGTGCAAGTCAAATCCAGCTTTGCCCCAAGTTTGCTCAGGCTCTTCCATGCAAGCCAGGATCTCCAATCTAACATATTCTTGCTGCTTTCTACCAGTGAGGAGGTAAGTAGAGTATACAGAGACGCCCTCAGCATGCAGGTCAATTTTATCCCCCCTCCCCCTCAAAAGCAACTCATTGCATGACCCCCTCTCTTCCAGCCCCCAAATCCACAGAGGGGGAGTGATTGCCGGCTGCTCCCCAGCCTAACATTCCTGTTTCCTGGAAGGGAGGGAAGGGAAGAAGGGAAGAAGGAAGGAAGAAGACAAGATGGAAGGGAAGGGAAGGAACGAAGGAAGGAAAAGAAGGAAGGAGGGAGGGAAGGAAGGAAAAGAAGGAAGAAGGAGGGAAGAAGGGAGGAAAGAATGGAAAGAAGGGAAAGAAGGAAGGAGGGAAGAAGGAAGGAAAAGGAAGGGGGTAAGGAAGAAGGAAAAGAAGGAAGGAGGGAGGGAAGAAGGAAGGAAGGAGCCCTTCTTGATTACTTCTGCAGAGATTTCATCCCTTAAAAAACCAGAAGGGCAAATTTTCTCTCTTTCTTTTTTCACTCCCCCTTTTCCCTGCCTATATCCCCTTTTCTGTCCTTCCTGGAAAAGTCCACAGCTATCCAGACTGGGATATTTCCCACCCACTTACCCCCTTTGCAAGGGACCCCTGAGAGAGAAACATGGGGCACCCTCCTTCCTTGCCACAAAAGAGGGGGGAAAAGATGCGGGACCCGAGGCGCCCTCGCCCTCCAACCACCCGGGGGGGGCCCCCTTCACCTGCTCGCTGGTTCCCGGGGGGTCCCGCCAGGTGGCCCCGCAGAGGCTGATGCCGGCTGTCCTTGATTTCAATGGTCAGCAGGGTCTTCATCTCGTCGTCAGGGTGGGCAGCTGGAGGGCGGACCAGGGAGCCTGCCAGGCCGTGGGCACAGCCGCTTTGCTGGCCACGGACCACCTCTGAGCCTGTGGGGGCACCCTTGGAGTTTTCAACCCCGGACCGGGCGGGGGCCAGCTTCCTCTCCTGCCATTGGCTGCCCTGGAACCGCCCTTGGGGGCCGCCGGCCTCTTTAGGGACGGACGGAGCCTGCGAAGGGGGCCTGCCCGGCCCAGCCTTGGCGTGAGAAGGGACCGTCCGGGCCGCGTCCTGCGCTTCACTGCTGGGCCGGAGCGTCCGAATGGCAGTGCCGCCACGGTCCCTCAAGGGTGAGTTGGCCGCGTGCCGGGAAGGTGGAAGATGCTGCCCTCTGCCAGCCTTCTCTCCCTTCTGGGGTGCAGCTGGAGGGTTTGCGGAGTCCGAGATGAACTGGCGAGCCCGCTCCCGGATGGAGCTGGCTCTTTGGAAGGGCTGCTCCCGGCAAGGCTCTGCAGGGAGGGAGGGAGGGAGGGAGGGAGGGAGGAAGGGAGGAGGGAGATGTCAGTGGAGGACCAACCTGGGAACAGAGAGTGGTTTATCTCAAGCATCTGGGAGCCCTGCCAGCCTTGGGGGTTGGGGGGGGGAAGAGTTTCCGCCCCAGGAAAGCAAAGCGCTCAGCAGTGTCCTTTGCGTTTCTCCCAGTGGTATTCAGAAAAATCTGCCTTCTTTCCAAAAAAAGGGGGAAAAAAGAGAACCAACCGCTCTTCCCAACCTCACCAGGGCTTCTCTGCTAAGTTTTCAGACTTTCTGGGCCAGGCAGATCCCAACTGGGGGGCAGGGGAGGCTTGTGGGGGGGGTGGAATCCCCATATGTTAAGGAATGAGACAATGGTCAGTTTTGTAGCGCCCTGGGTGGGCTTTGGAGAACAGGCCATTGCTGCCTCACTCCGTAATATATCGGGCACATTTATAATGGGGACCCCTCTGTCACTGCCCCTCCTGCTCCCCCCGACTGGGATCTGTTTAGCCCAGAAAGGCTGGAAACCAGCAGAGAAGCCCTGGTGAAACTGGGAAGAGAGGCGGGTCTGTGACCATTCGCCACAGTCAACTTGGCATGGCCAACTCCCCATACTCAACTCCCCATGGCCAACTCATCATGGCCAACTCCCCATACTCAATTTGTCATGGTCAACTCCCCATGGTCAACTCCCCATGGTCAACTCATCATGGTCAACTCCCCATGGTCAACTCATCATGGTCAACTCCCCATGGTCAATTCATCATGGTCAACTCCCCATGGTCAACTCATCATGGTCAACTCCCCATGGTCAACTCATCATGGTCAACTCATCATGGCCAACTCACCATACTCAACTCCCCATGGCCAACTCCCCATGGTCAACTCGCCATGGTCCAATTACACCATTAATTAGAGCTACACTCATATCAAAGAAATGGTGGAATAGAATCGTTAAAGAAAGGATGCAGAAGGAGGGACAGAAAGAAATGTGAATGGCAAAAAACTAAAATATATTTTTTAATTTTAAATAATTAAATAACATTGTTAAATTGTCCCGCAGTGAGTTGGCCATGGTGACTTGTCCCATTCCGCCACAGCACAGCCTCCCCCAACACCATGGCATCCCGGGGTTTCCTGGCCCAGCCCAGAACCAAGCAGGCTGGGCTGGGGTCTCTGGGAGTTTCCCACAAACCCCCCTCCCCCCCATCTTATGCTTCTCAACCTCGGCCTCTTGAAGATGGATGGACTTCGATTCCCTGATTTCCCCAGCTGAAGCCAAGATTGAGAAAGACCTCCGAAACCTTTCCTTGGTTTTGCCAGAGAAGCTGGCAGGAAAGGAGGATGTCCAGCGGATTGTGTCCTGAACCAGGGCTGACGCCGGTTGGGACGAAAGAACCAAGAGAAAGAATTACCTGCACTAGGTGGCTTTGTAGGAGCTTCGTAGCTGTCCGTTTCTACCCTTTGGGAGGCTCCGGTTGCTAAATAAGCATTAAAATGGAAAAACAGAAGCCGTGTTAACAGAGGAAGGGGTTCAGCCTCCGACAGGCACGGACACCGATGTGGCTAAATGGCTATGACCAGATCCCTGGATCTGGATCCCACAGGCCAAACCCTCTCCACCCTCAATCTTGAGACCATCTGGAGATCCCAGAACACTTCACAACTCTATCGTCACAGCCAACTTGCCATGGCCAACTCGTCACAGCCAACTTGCCATGGCCAACTCATCACAGCCAACTTGCCATGGGCAACTCATCACAGCCAACT